CTACCGACCATAGGGAGAACCGCATCCTTCGACAATTTCAATGGTGGCGACTGAATCCACTATCGAGATATAGTCTAGTTCGCTGCGGACAATGCGGCGTGTCAGGCAGTATGTGTACCCCGTAACACACTCATACTGCCTGACACGCCCCTTCATCCGCAGCGAAACTGACGGCATGAGGCCAAGTGGGTCGTCCAGTGGATCCTCGATGTTGCAACGCGCACAACTAGTTATTGACTCCTAGCTAGTCGACTCAGCGTGATGAAACACTTTCAAGTTGAACTATCCAGGTCCTGATGCGAATGCAGCACATGGGATCTAACCATTGGAAGCTTTGATTGCGGCGTCATTGCCATGTGAATCTCCTGACCGATAGCTTAGGCTATGAAAATGTGGTGGAAACAGATATTTTCTTATATTTCAGACCTTTCCCGACCATCATCATTTAAAGCATAGTATTTATTTCTTTGGATCCACAAAAAAAGACTTATTTAATGATCAAAAGCAAATCCGATTACTTACTACATGCTAAGAACGATTCATTATGGGTGAGCAACGGTGGAAAAAAACTAGATCATGGAACCTCATCGTTGAATATTGCAATCTACCTAAACACCACGAAAAAAATCAAGAGATCATTGCAGTGAAAAATTAAGGGACATTGTGATACAGCTAGTCTATTTACTCGAAAAAATATTTACGCTGCAAATCGATAAACCATGCAAATTTGTCAAGAACATATTCAAATAAGACAAATGACACTCATTCCAAACTCATATTACATTCACTAAGCTGATCTGTATCTGAAAACCGTAAACGACTGAAAAGTAGCGATAATTATTAGGAAAATAGAATTCAGTACCAGCAAGATAGGGCGAGAAAGATCGTGGGGAATAAATAGACTAAAAACAATCAAAATATCTTAAAACATAGGTAAATTAAAACTTTGTGAAGCGAGCATTATTCACTAAAAAATGTCAAATGAAAAAAAAATTCCCAGCCCCAAAACTTATTTTACAGTCAGAAACCTGTTGCATATGATGAAACTCAGAAGAAGGACAGCATTCTCAGTAAATATAGAACGCATTAGCAAGCTCATGATTCTACACTGTTTTTTTGGGGAAGGGGTGAACTTCAAGTTATCCGCGGCGCTTCATCGCGCGCAAACCAGCGTCCCTAGCTAGTTGACTCGACATTGCATTTCGGCGTTAAATCAATTGTGTCATAGTGCTTAAAGACAGTTTCCGCGATCAAATTGTCTGCGAAATGCTCCGTGCTTTTGCATCCAGTGTGCACACGCAGAGAGTGGACTACTTTACTCACTCGAAAGGGCGAGATAAAGCGGCCACAGACGTGTGACTTTTGTTGGCTTTGTTCTTTTCGGTCTGCAAGACAACAAAATAAGATGAATTACGTCCATGCGTTTGTTGCTTGCAGCGTCGTAACGATTTCATGGACTCGTCGGAGCAAATCTCAGCTTGTCGATTTTTTGCGAGCTGGCGAGTTGCTCTGCTCTCCCGGGATACCTTTTCAGAAGCAAGGTAACAATATCAGTCTACTTCGCGAGGCTAGAATGCGTTTGAGCTCCGCTCAAATTCTGCACTGATGCAATCGTGTAGATGCAAAAGCTCGTCATGCATTGCTTACACTGGCCTAATTTCACACTCAGCGTTTTAAGATTTTTTTTCTAGTATTGGATGCCATTTGGTGCCAGTTGATGCAAAAAAATTATCGTTGAGTCAGGTGCTGCACACAGGCCGGAGGGTGTCGAATTGTCAGCGACTGCGGAGGGAAGATTCGTGCCATTGGTCTGGGTGACTCTCACGTAGCGGTTGCTCCTTTCTTCGGTGGGGAGTCACTACGGTTCATTCAATGAACACCCAACCACCCGTAATATTCAGTCGCGGGAATAGTTTACAGGTGCCAAAAATTTCACCACTCGATGAATTGCTTGATTCTATGCTCAACTATACTAGTTATATGGTGGCATTAATTCTTTGACGCGTCTTTTATATATTTCGAGGAGAATCCACCGCGATCCTCTTCTCAGCTTCTTGTTGGTGTTTTTTGCGGGTGTTCGAAAACGCTCAGAGCCAAGCGTGTACCGAGCAGAATTGGCCTGCGAGCCTCTACGCGCAGCGAAGTTGCTGACCCATATGCAAAGAACCATTAGAAAGGCAACTCTACTCAGCTGAACAGTCGAGACATGAGTTCTCTGAGTTGATGTTACTTGGCTGTCTGTCGACTTTACGACTAGACAGATTGTCATTTTATAATTTAGACGTCAGGGCAGTGCACATTTGTTCGGCTAACGATTCCTTTGTGCCTTTAAGCTCTATGTCTTATATTGCAGCGACGTCTTGTATTGCTAAGTACTGTAGAGCTATGGGGAACCTTCAAGTTATAGGAATGGTATTTGTTAATTCATACAGTTACTGAGCGTTTCAGTTACACCACGATGGAGCTTCCAATTTATAGTACATGCAGGACGATGTCCTCCAAGACAACGACCCGATTGGACAAGACGCCACCGCTACAAGAACAGCAGACCTGAGACGACGCGGATCAACGGCCTTTTTCGTGTTTATTAGTGAAAAGAAGAGGTATATATTTGGTGAGCATAATTCTCCCATTATTTTTTTCAATATCTTCCTTGAGAAGTAAGATTAAAGCAGTTTTCTATTCATTTTCGATTACTTCTTCTAAGTTCGTATGTAGCCGCAATTAATATAAGATTATGGTAGGCTGTGCTGTAACAAACTTGAACTGACGCCAAAATGCTGTGTCGAGTCAACTAACTAGCAACACTAATTGGTTGGCACGCACGCCACCCCTGGGATGTCCTGACCTCCTCCTTAAAATGACAGATAGGATACCACAGGTGCCCGATCAAAACGTATTGCACTTAGCACATCGATGATCTACGCTCTATTCGACCAAGATATGTACGCAAGCACTATCACTTAGTAAGACTAAAGCAAGAACACCTTTTACATAGAACGCAGTGAAAGGTTCTCAATATCTCAGACCACTACTCAGGATTTCTAGGCGTAATTACCTCGTGACACTAGCCCGACACAAACGAGAATCAGTCTCACGAAGACCATACTTCTGCTGTGAAGAGCTAACTTCTTCCATTTCCACACTGCTACCCGAAGCATTGTCACTATTCTCTTCTCTGCTCGCAAACACACCTTTTCCCCGTCTAAACAATACTTTGAATGTGGATGACTAAACTTCAAAAAAATCGATCAAGAAAACTTACCGTTCGCACGTTACACATTCGCAGTTCTCGTTACCCTCTCCGAAAAAGTCTTCTCCATAAAAACATGTGATTTCATCTCCCGGTTTTAGCTCGCGTGAAACCTATAAAAACGGGTTTCATTGATTCGAGGTTGCTCAAGGCACAGATCACGCTGACTATGGGCGGAGAAAGTCAATAACTAAGCGTTTCTCACGATTGCCCCCCCCCCCTATTTTTTCGCTTGAGAAAGCATTCATACTCGCTTGAGAAAGCATTCATACTTTGCGACTGGTCGCTTGCATCGATTTAGACGACTACTACTGGACACCATTGCAGCAGCCCACTGGCAGAGGCGCTTTCATGCAGTCATGATCCGCAGAAGATAGGGCGTGACGCGACGCGGATTGGAGAGTAACCAGGGCAGCAGTTCTTCACCAATTATGTCATGCTGGAAATCCGTCATGGCTGCGCTCCAAGCCACGTCCCCGTCACAGCTCCTATCGTTTGTAAGGATCATGGCCGTACTCGTGAAGCAGCGTTGAGAATTCGCGGACGCAGCGCTTCGGTCGCGCGTTCGACGCGATCGATGCAGTCGAAAGCATGCGCATCGATCGCGTCGAACGCGCGACCGAAGCGCTGCCGTCGCGGAGCCTGAACGCTGCCTGACACAATAGGCAAACTGAAGAATATAAGAATCATTTATACGCGCCGAAGGGACAGGGAATCGATTGATTACTCTGTTCCCCAGACCCCCCCCCCACCCATCCCCCTTCCCGGATGCTCTTCTTTGGCGCGCATTCTCCCGACTCTCCTTTTCTCCAGTATCAAAAAGTATGATCGCGGTCTAAGCTGAAGTCGCAATCGGTCGAGTCACGTGCTTCTCGTGATCCTAGCGACCAGTCGCGAAGTATAAACATCCTTGTAGGAGCAGCAATGAGAAGGGCCAAACGGTTGATTGTCTCCGCCCAAACGATCGGAATGGATCACACCGAAGTCGCAAGGAGCGGTCAGAAACAGAACTGTTTTCAAGAGGATTCAGTACCTGAATGTAAGCCGTATGCCCATTTGGTACGAACCGGCAACTGGGCCGGCAGTCATGGTTTATATAAGCCCCTGGTCCTAACCACAATTGAGCGCATTTTTTCCTGTAATGATAGCCTTCTAATGCGACAGGAGAGGTGGAATGAGCTCTGGTACCTCATACTATACATAACAGAGAAGTCGTTTAAGCCTGGCCGCAAAATCTGCTCTTCTTCTTGATCATCGAGTTCACTGATGACTCCACAAAGACGCTCAATCTTGTCACCGCGTTGCCTAGGATAATTTTTTGTATCATGCGTATGAAATCTACTGCTTAGCTATAAACAAAGCTAATGAGCACCAGTAGCGCGTTGCTATGAGCTTTGCGCCCATGTTTTGCTCGGCGGCATATCGACTGCAGATATCCATTGTGAAACCCGCTTTCGATGAGAACACATTCAGAAAACGAACAACCTGAATAAACAGTTTTCAGAAAAAAAAACATTAGACACTTTCCAAAACTCGACTCGTATTCCACTCATGGAAAAGAATCATCTCTGGAGGGACCTCGAGAGAACGAACTTTCAAGCTCCCTTCACACATCAGCAGTGAGTAGAGTGCGCTTTTTGAAGCCTCTTCTACAAATTACATCAAAATCGCACTCTGAAGGTGTTCAACTTCTCTCTTCGTAAAACCTCGGCATTGTTGTTACGTTTGATAAGTTCTTCTGTGCACACGAGGTTGGTAGGTGGAACTTTTATTATGGCCTGACGTTTCGACTAGATCGTCTCAGTTAGTTGTTAGTATAAATATGTCTATTTGTACTAACAATAACTGAGCGGCTGCTCCC